GTATATCTCCTCTAACTTCCACATAATTCTATCCACCAACTTACCCATCTACTCCCACAGTGATAGGCCCCCAGGTCACCTCTGACTCTTTGCCACCACATGCAGCATTGGCCTTCTGTAGACATTTCTCTTCTGTGTGAACATTTCATTGACATATATAATCAGGAGTAAAATTTCTGGCTCAAATGCTATATATATATATATATATACTTAGTATATATAAGTGTACTTAGTTTAACTAAGTGTACTGTTAAACTGTTTTCCAGAATAGCTGCCTTACTCTACATTCTCATGTGGGTTTTTTTGTTGTTGTTGTTTTGTTTATTGTATGAGTACTAGCATTATTCTGCTTAGTTTGAAACCCCTTGGAGGTAAGATGTTGACTGTGACATATATGAAAGAATATCACATGGTAAGAGATAGTCTTCCTTAATCCATCCAATCCAAGGCACCTTGATTGTAAATGGATCATTGCATGTATCGCTAAGTTTAAAAACTACGACGTTAAGCCACTATGTGTTTTAGACCATAAGATGCATTCCACTTTCAGAGATGTAAAATTTGAGAAAGTGTGAGTTGGAGATCAATGAAAGAACAGTATTTTTAGCCATTTAATTTATTCTCTAAAGCTTACCAGTGCAGTGATCCTTGGGGATACAAAGATGAATATTTCACATTCTAGCATCCCAAAAAACTAAATTTCTCTCCCTAGACTGTAGCGGCAGGAAAGTAACAGGGAAGGTAGGTTCTGCTGAATAAAACCTGTTCTTGCTCTTCACGTTATAAATGACCTGATTTTAAGATACTGGACTTCTTGTTATCAAAAGCACTCTAGTTGTCATGAATGGCCAAATACTTTGAATGTTATAGTTATTTCTGTTGTGGAAAAAGATTGAACCTGCTGTCCAGTGTTTCAGGGATTAAACTCAGCTTTTAAATCAGAAACTTGAAAGATGGTGGCTGCCTTGTAACAGAGATGTGGAAACCGTAGGTTAAACAAGGTAAAGATTTCGTATCTCTGGTATGACAGGAATCTGAAAATAAGCCATTTTGATCCGGTAAGGTTACTCTTTAGTATCATTAGAAACCCAGGCTCCTTTTAACCTTCTTCATACCTGTTGTTATCATGGAGTTTTCACCTCAAAATCACAGATAGCTGGTGTACCTCTTGTATTATTTTTGTTACAGGCAAAAATAAGGAGAATGATAATTGGATAATGGGGTACGTGACAAATGAGTCAGTATCCCTGAAAGAGCTTTCTCAGAAGTTCGATCCTGTGACCACGATTGACTAGAACTATGTAACATAGCCACCCCTCACCAGAAGGGATGGCAAACTGGAAAATTTAAGTTTTTAACTGGAACGTTGTTGTCACTAATAAAAATCAGAGTAATGTTAGAAAGAAGGGAAGACTTGATTTGGGGGAGATATGTAAGTGGTTTCTTTATTCATCAAGGCCTTTTTTAGTTAGGAAATACGTATATGACACTCTTTAACATCTTTCTACACCAGTGTGGCACCAATAGAATGTTTATGTGTATTATAGTTTATTACTAATACTACAGTTTATTATAATACATCACAATGAATGCCTTGATCCTTGCTGATTTGGTTTCTCAGTGACTAAAATCAGGAACAGATAGGTCCAAGGAAATGTAAGAGTACTGATTTCCACTTCACTCAGCCCTTGCTAACCTAGAACTTAGAAGGGTACCTGCTTAGGCCAAACTTCTTGATATCAGAGAATTGTTTGCTTTACACTTAAACCCTTCCGTTGCTGTCTAAATCCCTTTCCTTACACCACTTCTTTAATCCCTTCCTTTTCTCTTTTCTTCCCCATCAGTTTCTAAATGCCAAAAACTCTCTGATTCTTAGAGAGATCTGTGGGTTCCTTAGTGCTTGGGAAATAAAGAGGTGCATCTCCCCAGCTTGATTCTCTTTGACGTAAAGGACTTAATTTAGAAGTCAGTTGAAACTGTAGATGTTGTAACCAGGGAAAAAAGTTTTTTGTCCTTTGAGTAGCAGTTTTCTTGATCTGAAAAATAGTAATTATGAGGAATGTGGTTATATTTATTGATTTAAAGTATTTATTGAGACTTGTTGCTGGGACTGTAGCAATGAATATGACAGTCCTGTATTTATGAAGCTGATATTCAAGTGAAAGACATGATCAAAAAAAATTAAACAGCATCATCAAAGTCATGTCGCATAGCATCACTTAGCAATGGTTACTTTAGATAAGGAGTCAGCAAACTTCTTCTGTAAAGGGCCAGAAAGTAAATACTTTCTGCTTTGCATGTCACATATGGTCTATCACATATCTTTTTTTTTTTTTTTTTAAATAACACTTTACAAGTTTAAAACCCATTCTCAGCTCATGGGCTCTACAGAAATAGGACATGGGCTGCATATGGGCCATCACCATTGTTATTTAACTGTTGCTTTATTTTATCCTATATAGTTAGAGAAGCCATTGGCAGATTTTAGGCAATTGGAGTTATATATCCTGATTTTTGTATTCAAAATAGCACTGAAGTAATGAACTAGGGGCAGATAAAGTAGAAGCAAAAGATAGTTATTAGGCTATTGCTTTATGTAAGACTCCTAAGTTTTTAGTTTTATCACCTAATGCCATTTACTGAGAAATCAAAGGCTGGAAGAAAACTGATCTGGGAGGTAAAATACAAATTCTGTTTTGAGCATGTTAAACTTTAGGTTCCTGTTAGACTCCTAAATGGAGTTGTCAATTTGAAACCAAGCAAAGTGAGTTCAACTCCCTGTGGTGACAAAAAACGAACTTGAGACACAGGTACTGGTGCAAGAGGAAAGAGGCTTATTTAGGTGCCGACCTGGGAGAAGGGCAAACTCCTGTCTCAAAGACCATTCTCCTTCCTGCTCAAGCCCACAGTTCTAATAGGGATAGGGAGAGCAGGGCTTTCTTTTTCTGTCCAATTATCTCACTAGCTTTCAGAGTACACGAGGCCTTACCTATTCATCTCTCTAGCTCTTGGTGTACTCAGTGCAAGAACCTCCCCCTGTGCCATCCTGGCCAATGGGGGAGACTCCCCGGTGTTCCCTGACTATCTACTCTAACAAATTGGAGTTTAGGGAAGAGTCCGTGACTAGATGTGTGAGTGTGTGTGCATGCGTCAGCATATAGATGGACCTAACATCATGGAATTGGATAACATTACCTAGGGAGAGCAGAGGGCTTCCAAAGGAAGTTGAGAGTGTACATTGATTTAGGAGGAAAACAAAGAGTAGTACCATGGAAGCCAAAAGAGGGTGGAGCATCAACTCAGTCAAATCATGCTGTCAAGTGAGATAAGTACACACAAATAGTCATTGGACTGGGCACTATGGAGCTGATTCATAACTTGGACAAGAGTAGTTTTACTGGAATAATAGGGGACGAAAACCATACGCTGTGATGATGAGCACAGAAATGTTACCATAGCAAAGGAAGTGGTGTCATCAAGGGAGGTTGTTTGTTCTTTTTTTAGTGGAAGATAGAACATGTTTGGTTAATAATAGGAATGATTCAGTAGTGAGAAAGAAGTTGATGAAGCAAGGTATTAAGGATTGGCAGTTAAAAACTGATTTATTTTAAAACGTGAACAAGAGCTGTTTGGTTGACAGGGAGAGACTAAAGAATTTTCTAAATTTCCAAAATCCAAATTCATAGAGGCTCGAGAGAAAGTACAGCATATTTGGAGAATAGCAAGCTCTTATTTTGGCTGGAACAGTATTTCCTTTTAAGCTACTAATAAGAGGAATGATTGGCAAGGCCAAAAAAATTATGCCATGAAATTTGGAAATTATTGTGAAGACAGGGTCTTCTGAAGAATTTAAAATGAGCCCCAGCTGGTGTGGCTCAGCTGGTTGGCAGTGTCCCTCAAACTGCAAGGTTGCCAGTTTGATTCCTGGTCAAGGCATATGCCTGGTACAGTTCAGTCCCAGGCCAGGACACATACAATGTTCCTCTCCCTCCCTCCCTTCCCCTCTCTGTAAAATCAAAAATTTAAATATAAATTAAAAAAATGGGGAAATAAACCTTTGATAGCATTTTGAAAATGTATTAAACAAAATAAAGGAAGACAGGTTTGGAGGTTGATAAAACTGGAGTCAGGGAAACCAGTGGGAAAACCATTGTAATCAGCCCAGGTTGACTGGGGACTGACTGAAGACTTGTCAGTGGGTATTAGAGAGGATGGTACAGTTTTGACAGCTACTTATGAAGAAAACATCCAAAAAAAAAAAAAAAAGAAGGTGTTTGATCAGAATAAGGAGAGAAAACTTACCATATCAAACATGGCTTTTTTTTTTTTTTTTTTTGAGAATAAGGAAATGCAAGTAATATAAGACTAGGCAAGATTGATGACTAGTTTCATTTTGGACGTTTAGATTAGTCAATTGAAGATGTGTAGTGGTCAGATATATGGATATAAAATATAAATGAAGTGTCTGGCCTGGAAATAATTACCTGGGTGAGACACCAACATAAAATCCCAGTTGTCAATTGGCTTCTCAGTAAGTGTGGGTTAAGGGGAAAAAATAGTCTAATGACAGCCTGTCCAAAAAAAAAATATATATATATGAGACAGCAGTTTCAACCACTGTTTAAAAATCATTTGTATGAACAGATTGTAGTTTGTGAACACAACCACTGCCAAAAGAAAAAGAAAACCTCTATTCATTTAACCCTTGCTAGGGGGTTTGGTTGGAGCATCGTCCTGTACACCAAAAGGTTATGGGTTCAGTTCCTGGTCAGGGCACGTACCTAAGTTGCAGGTTAAATCCTTAGTTAGGGCACGTAAGGGAGACAACTGATCAATGTTTCTCTCTCCCTCTCCTCTCTAAGATTAATAAACTTACCTATCCTTGAGTAAGGATTCAAAAAAGAAAACCTCTATCCATTTAAAATCCTATTTCTTTTAAGTGGTTTTTAATAATAAATTTTAAAATTAACCAGATAATTTACCTTTTCTTCTTTATTAAGATTGAAGAATTGGAGGAGAAGCTTAATGATGCACTTCATCAGAAGCAGCTACTAACATTGAGATTAGACAGCCAATTGACTTTTCAGCAGAAAGATGCCAGGTAAGTTTTTAAAAAGCATCAATATCTGTTTAGTAGTTAAAAGTAATGGCATTACCTGTTAATGCATGTGTTATAAGCTAAAGTAGAGAAATTTTAGATCAAAAATGGTAACAGTTTTTACATCCAGACCAACAAAAAAGTAGGTTACTTGATACATTCCACAAATACAAAAAGTCAAAATTCAACATTTAGTCAACAAACACTGCCCATGTGAGTGAACCATAAATGACAATAGGAGCTCTCTAAGCTGACCACTACTTAACCTGCTGTCTCGAATGACCTTTTTTCCATTTGCTTTGCAAACCATACTGATTGATTTTCATGGCCCTTTGAACACTGCTGACATGAAGTGCCTTCTGTTTGCCTGCACACGTTCTCCAGCTCAGTTATGTGCTTAATCGAGAATCTCATGTTTACTCACAAATATGCCTATACCACTTTTACTTACTATACTTATATAACTTAATTAAAATTAGGTAAACAAATATCAACACAAAAAAGATGTGTCATTTTTATGAAAACTACCATTAATGAATTCTTGGAAAGATTCAATAAAAAGGAGTGACTTAAAAAATCATCAAATTCAGTGTAAGCAAAATATACTTAGAGATTGGGGGGGCAAAAATTAAATAAATGCATAAAAAATATTCTCACATTTCTTCCCAAGTGTTTTTTAAGGCCCGCCACTCTAAAGTTGAACTTGGAAATTATGAACAGTGATTTACACACACGTGCGCGCACACACACACACAAAACATATGTCCATGTTTTTTATAAAAATCTGGAATCTATGTAAAAAAATTAACAGATGAATGTTTATTTCTCTATTTACTGAGAGATATGTGTGTAAAGTAGGTATCTTTTCACTTTATAACACTTCACTATTTAACTGATATTTAAAACAGTTATCTGACCAAATTAATTAGTCACTACTATTTTAGATTAGTGGCTTTCAAACTTTAGCATGCATCAGAACCTCCTGGAAGTCTTGGTAGAAAAGATAGTTCGGTCCCACCCTCCGGTTCTGATTTGGGTTGGCGTCCTGCAAATTTGCATTTCTACCAAGTTCCCAGGTGATGCTGATGCTAATCCTGGTTCAGGGTAACACTTTGACAATTACTGCATTCGGTAATAGGTCTCCTTTTCTAATTCTTTAAACATTCTTCAGACTGAATGATGCTAAAGTACAATTAGGACGCTATTCAAATAATCCCCTCCCTTCATCACCGATGGGAATAAAATGTATATGGATTCTGAATATATTGAAGGCAAAGCTGATAGGAAGTTCTAATGGATTAGATGTGGGGTTTAAGAGAAAAAGAGGAGCCTAGGATTATGTCAGCATCTTTGACCTGAATAAATGAAAGGATGGAGTTGCTGCCAACCAATAAAAACTGCAGTGGAATAGGTTTGCGAGTGAAGAGCAGGAGTTCATTTTGGACATCTTAAGTTAGAGTTGTCTGATTTGAAATCCATGTGGAGTTGTATGAAGAGTCTGGTCTAGAGATAAAAATGTGGGAGTTATTAGGATACGAACAGTATTTAAGTCATGAGAGTAGATTAATTCCCCATGGAAGCAAACCTATATTCAGAGGAGAGGACCAGGTACTCCAGCAGAGCAAAGGCAGTGGCTGCCATTGGCCTGCACCAGAGCTCTCCCAAGAAGTCCTGGAACCCGTGTACCAGAGCACCACCAAACCACCTCCACAAACAACACACTCAAGGGGCAGAGTCAACAGGCACCAGAGCCCCACCAAAGCAAACTCTGCTCCATGGGGTCAGCCTCTGCACAACAGATTGTCTGCTATAGCCACAACCAGTTTCATTGCCAGTCTGCCTAAGAGTCAGTTCCTCCTGTTGATATGCCAACAGTGGTCAAGGTTCAACTATAGTAGGAGGGCATGTACAACCCGCACAAGGGACCATGTGGAGCACCTGGCTCGGGTGACCAGGGAGACTGTGCCACTTGGTCAAACAGGACACCTACTACATAAAGCAACTCTACCAAGACCAGAAGATATAGCAGTTCTACCTAATAGATTAAAAAATAATAAAAAAATAAAAATAAAAGGGCAGCCAAAATGAGGAGATAAAGAAACATGTCCCAAATGAAAGGACTGGACAAAACTCCAGAAAAAAAAACTAAATAAAATGGACACAAGTAATCTACCAAATGCAGAGTTCAAAATACTGGTTCTAGGGATGCTCAGTGAACTCAGAACTTTAACAAAGAGGTAGGAAAAACAAAAAAGGGAATAGAAAATGTAAAAAGTTACCAGTCAGAAATGAAGAATACAGTAGAGGGAATAAACAGTAGATTAAATGAAGCAAAGTATCAAATCAGCAATTTGGAAGAGAAGGTAGGAAAAAACACCCAATTGGAACAGCAAAAAGAAAAAAAACTGAGGGTAGCTTAAGGGGCCTCTGGGACAACATCAAGCATACCAACATTCACGTCACAGGGCTACCAGAAAGAGAAAAGAAAGCAAAGAATTCAAAACCTATTTGAAGAAATAATGACTGAAAAGTTCCCTAACCTGGCAAAGGAAATAGACATACAAGTCCAGGAAGTGCGGAGTCCCAAACAAAATGAACCCAAAGAGTCCTACACCAAGACACATCATAATTAAAATACCAAAGTTTAAACACCGTAAGCAGGAAGAGGAAAACAGTTATCTACAAAGGCGCTCCCGTAAGACTGTCAGCTGATTGCTCAACAGAAACTTTGCAGGGTAAAGGGATTGGCATGAAATGTTCAAAGTGATGAGAATGACCTACAACCAAGATTACCTAGCAAAACTATCATTTAAAATTTTTTTATTGTTTTTTTTAGAGAGAGAGAAACATCAAGTTACTGCCCCACTTATATATGCATTCATTGGTGGTTTTTTGTGTGTGCCCTCACCAGAGATCAAACCCATAACCTGGGATCATCAGGATGACACTCCAACTGAGCTACCAGGCTAGGGCTATTATTATTATTATTATTATTATTTTAATTGATTTTCCTTTTAAAAGAGAGGAGCATGGAGTTGTTGTTCCACTTATTTATTGGCAAGGCTATCATTTAGAATTTAAAGTAAAGCATAAGGAATATATTCAATAATATTATAATAAGTATGTATGGTGTCAGATGAGTACTAGACTTATCAGGGTGATCACTTTGTAAGTTACACAAATACCTAATCACTATGTTGTACACCTGAAACTAATATAATGCTGTATGTCAACTGCAATTGAAAAAATTTTTAAAAATTTTAAAAATATAGTATAGAAAGTAATAACCAGAAGCCAGGTATTATGTGCAAGCTGTAATCTTATATTTAAAATGGAAACTGGTACAAGATGTTGTTTAGAATTTTTCCAAAATATGAACTTAAAATAATCTGTGATTTTGGTATGAAAAAAAAAAGCTTTGGAGGCAGTGTGTATAGACAACTTTTGAGAAGTTTTGTTTCATGGGAGAGCAAACAAAGGAGGCATTGTAATGGGGTCAAAAGTTGGGGTTTTTACTTGTTCATTTGTTTTAAGATAGGAGAAATAACAGCATGTTTGATGTTGATGGAGTGATTAACAGGGAGGGAAAAAATCAGATGGCCCCCTCCTGCTCAAAATCTTTGGGTTGGCTACTGAAAGTAGCAGTGTCTTCTGTATGTATTCTTTGAGAATGATGACTATGTGCGTATTACTGTTTTCATTACCTCATTGTGGTTCAGTGCTGCCATCCTAGAGATATACCTTTTAGTATCTAGACAGAAAAATGAAAAGTACTTTAATGAGTAGGATCCGGAAGAGATGTATAATACTTAAACTCTAAGCAGAAGAAATGTGTAATTTTACAAGTTTAATTTTTTTCTATGACCATTTACCCCATCATACCCTGTTCCACCTCCACCCACCCCCTTTCATTATAATTTTAATTTTTTTAATTATTCTTTAAGAATTTTAACTTCATATTTAATAATTTATATGACTGCACATTTAGTGATTAGTATAGAGTTGTCATGTCATGTTTAATTGGTTAAGGAAATAAGAGTTTAGCTAGAGACAAATATATAATTCGAGCTTCTCCTTTTCTAATTTTATGGTACTATAAAAAGGTGACTTTGAGAAAGTTGAATCTTGAGAAGTTTTTTCAGCTTGCCGCAATTTCTGTCCACAGAAAATATCAAGAACTAATGAAACAAGAAATGGAAACTATTTTATTGAGACAGAAACAACTGGAAGAGACAAATCGTCAGCTGAGAGAGAAAGCGGGAGATATTCGTCGAAACCTGCGTGACTTTGAGTTGACAGAAGAGCAATATATGAAACTAAAAGGTTTTCCTGAAGATCAGCTTTCTATTCCTGAATATGTATCTGTAAGTGTCTTGTCATTAAAAAAACAAACAAACAAACCAAAAAACAAAATTACAGGTACTTTCAGACTAAAATTTGCCATTTATGTTGTATCTATAATTTCTGAAATACCCAATTATTCTATGGCCCTCATCTGAAGGTGGAGAATGGTGTTCAGACCACCTAATTTTAAAGGGTCTTAACCATTGACCTCCAAAGGCAAGCAAGCAATAAACAGAGATCTGACACTATCAGCTGCATAGTATACGGTAATGAAATAATCTGTCATAAACTGGTGGTCTGTAACATTGTGAGCATGAAAAACTATAGACATTAAACACTGGTTAGTGGTTGCTGGGGGGTTAGGGATAGTAGAGGAGAGCAGGGTTGGTGTGATTATAAAGGTGTCAAGTGAGGGAGATTTTTATAGATCTCGTTCAGGATCTCAAGCACAGCGTTGGTCACACAAATCTACACGAGAGATTGATATATGGCAATAGTTGCAAATGTTTTGGTGTCAGCATCCCTTTATACTCTTAAAAGTTACTGAAGGCCCCAAAGGGCTTATGTATATATGGGCTATATCTATTAATATTTACCATATTAGAAATTAAAATGGAGTAAAACACAAGACTACATAAGCACATGTTCCATTAGACTTAAGGGCGTTGATATCTTCACGTGTCATGTGGCCACTAACAGACACCCTTGAACAGGCTTAAGAGAATGAGAACAAAACAGGCAAAAATCTTGCTATTACTAGGAAAATAGTTTTGATCTTATGAATTCCCTGGAAGGGTCTCAGAGTGCGGGGTGGGGATCCAGGGCCCCCACACTACACATTGAGAACTGCTGGTTTATGATAGATAGACATCATTTCATCGGAAGAGGCTTGAATTTTTTCATTTATAAAAGGGTTAATTATAATAATAGCACCTTTCTATTGATGTAATCGTGAAGAGTAACAGTCATAATGAATGTAACATGCTTAGCTTAGTCCCTAAAACACAGTAAACGATAAAATATTACCTATCATTTTGTTGGAGTGTTGATTGCTCCTCTTGGTTCTCATTTGGACAGGCCTTCCAGATTAATGATTTCCTATAAAACGTATTACTTTTTTGTCCAGCTTTTTATTTAAACAGCTTAAATATAATATTTCTGCCCAACATGTACTGTCCAAAAGAAATATCTTAAGTGCTGTCCTTGAAGCTTTATCCATAATAGATATCAAGTATCCCATTAGTGTCCATTATACATATTTTAGCTCTCTGGCTAGTTAGTGTTTGTCATATCTTTTGTTTTCATAGGCAGTGTTATTGTTACTATTTATTGTACTGAGGACTAATCTTAGGACTTGCTTCTTAACAAAGATGGGACTTTTGCAATACAGCAATATATTAAGGTGTTTCAGATAGTCCCTAATTGCCCTCTCTTAATTTACTCATGGCTTCTTTGTTTTATAGGCACTTGTCAGATGGAACATGGTTACTAGGTTAGGGCAGGCAAATTGCCCAAAGGGAACTGTGGGTGGGAAGAGAGAGCTGAACTGACTGGAGGTAGTAATATGAAAGATAATTCCTGACTCATCCTGATCATCCCTTACACTGCAGTGGGAGCAGTAAGTAGGGCTTCACCAAGACCCTAGGATGTGGGCTCATCAGATATTTAGGCATTGGATATAGAGCAATATACAAAGCAGCCAAATATTCCTGCCCTCGTGGAGTTTGCATGTTAATGGAGCAACACAGACAGTAAATTAAAATATGTTGAACGTTTGTCATACATGCTATAGAGAAAAGAGCAAGAGTGAAGATTAGGGGCTGCCGCCGGTGGGCATGCTATTTTAAATCAGGTTGGGGAATCAGGGAGAGGGCGACATTTGATCAGAGACCTGAAGGGAGTGAAAGCATACTTTTCTACCAGAGGAAACAGCAAAAGCAAAAGTCTGGAACACTTGATGTGTTCAGGAAACAACAAGCTTATAGTGTACAGTGAGAAGTAATAGGAGACATGGAGTAAGTAGTAAATGGAGTATTGATGGAAAGAAGAGAGGAAAGAGAGACTGTCGGGATGGAGAGTTAGAGATAATCTGGGCCTTGAGGGAACTGAATTGAACATTAAGATGTAAGTAGCGCTGGTCAGACAATTAACATATCTTGTTTTAGTTTTGTGCAAGTAAAACACAATTTTTTGTACAGGCATATGATCTGAAACTCCTTAATATTTTTCTCTTATGACCTAAATATTTTACTTTTATTACCAACGATTGAGAGTACTATAAATTAGCAAATTTTAATTGTAATTTGGGTTTAAAACCTGCTCATTAATTTAATTTTTTTAAAGATTCGATTCTACGAATTAATGGACCCACTAAAAAAGGAAATCTCTGAACTACAAGTGAAAAAGAATAACCTGTCAGAAGAATTAACTGAAAACAAAAGCCAACTGAAACAATTGACAGAGGTTTGTATGATTTTGATCTCGTGACGACAGGAGGCGCCAAGTTTTTCTGTTAAGGATTTTCTCAAGATTTGTGATAAGAATATAGAAGTCAAATAGAGAAATAGGACTAGAGGATGCTAACTGTTGTGATTCTACATGAATGGTGGGAAGGCGGTTAGACTGGAAATAGTCATCTTAAAGATTGACGAGATAAGTTCATGATATTGACCTGTAATCCATTGTTGAACATTTTGTTGTGAACTCCTTCATTACAGATTAACCTTGTTTGTGATATATGAGGGAAGCTGCTATCTACATATCGGTCACTTTGCCTCTACATCAAAAACAGTTACCTCTCCTACTGCTCGTTCAGAGCATGTGCACCAATCCAAGCACTGGCTGCAGCGATGTGCTTGGCACTGTGCTTGGTGCTGGCAGCAGGGAGCACAAAAGGAGACAGGGGCTGCCCTTCTAGAGTTCAAATTCTAGAGTTCAAATTAGAGTTAGAATCTTAGATGATAGCTTGACACTGTCATTATCTGTGTGACCTTGAACAAGTCATTTCAGTTTCCTGTCCAGTCAAATGGAAAAAAATAATACTGTTTTTCCATTCATTTCATTAAATTGCCAATGTTTCTGTTTCAAAATAAAAACAGATTTTTAGCAAAGTTGCATATCAAATTTGTTTTGTGTCCTATTTCAAGGACGGCTTTTACAAAAGATCTATTGTTCAGAAATAAGTAGTTTAATTTATATTTTGATGCTCTGATTTGCTGCACTATTAGTGCTGGGCAGAATCGACTTTTGTCATCAATCTAGAGCCAATATTACAGGTAAAATAAAGACTTGGCTTCCTTCCTCTCATAGGAGGGATGAAGGCCTCAGGAGCGATGCCAGGGGTAGACGGGCCTGTATGAACACTGTCGTACGCTTCTATGTATTGTTGGACTTTTTCCTTCTGCTAACCTGCCACATTGTACGGTAATCTATTTTGTGCATTTAAAAGATAGCTTTTAATTTTTTTTAAAATTTGCATGTATAGCCAAAAGAATAAAGAACAAGGAAGGCCTCAGTTTGGCTACTAATTTTACAACATTTGTCAAATCATTTAATCTCTGTTGATTTGGTAAAATGTGGAGGATGGTGGTAGTTGGAGTACAGAGTTTATCAGGGACAAGGCAGTTGGGCAAATTTTGAGACAGTTCTGTAATACCTTGTAGTACCTCAGCATCCCTCAAGGACTTCTTATTTTTAGAAGTCAGGAGGAGTTTTCTATCCTTGTTTATCTCAAATCACCTCTTTTATTTATTTTTAGAGAGCGGGGAAGGGAGGGAGAAAGAGAGGAGGGAAACACTGATGTGCTAGAGAAACTGAGCAGTTTCCTGTCATATGCCCCCAGCTGGAGACCTGGCCCGTAACCCAGGCATTTGCCCTGACTGGGAATCGAACTGGCAGCCTTCATGTTTGCAGGATGACACCCAGCCCACTGAGCTGCACCAGTCAGGGCTCACATCACCTCTTTTTTGATTACTTTAGCATTTGGGAATCTAAGAGTGGGTTACTCTTGAACAAAGGATTCCTTGGGCAAAAAAATGCTTACAACTCTAGAATTTTTCTAATCACTACCATGTGATATACAGGGTCCAGCAGAAGTAACACCTGCTTGAATGTGGTTGGCGGGGTAATAATATGGGTCTAATAATTTATAGTTGTAATTTGAACATTTCACCTAAAATGTCATATGGTGTGCTTGAGTGTGATATTGTTGTTACAGAATTACATGCTTATGGTTTTGTAATAAAAGATTTTGTAATAAAAAGGAGCATTATTTGTGCTGGATTCTGTATAGCCTTATAAAAAAAAGTCTTCACTGACTTTAATTTAAAAATAATTAGTATATTTTTTCTCAGTGTTGGACGATTTAACCTGTACTAGGCCCTTGACGGAACACAAGAACCGAACTTTAAGGATGGCTTTAATATAAAGTAATTCTGTTGTGTCTAGATCATATTCTCAGAATTTCTAAGACCTTTTATTAGGTAGGTAAGATATTGCTTATTTTTCTGAACTGTGATTCAGTTCTCTGTTTATATCGCTATTAAATTCAGGAAAAGGTTTAAGACACACGGTTATGTTTTGAACTAAGAGTTGATAAACTTTTAAGTAACAGACCTGCCCAAAAAAGGACGTGTGATGGTTAAATTTGTTGTTAACTGGCTAGGCCATGGTACCCAAATATTTGGTTAAACATTATTTTATGTTTCTGTGAGAGGTAGTTTTAGATGAGATTAACATTTCAATCAGTAGACTCCTAGTAAAGTGATTATCCTCCATGATGTAGGGGGCCTCATCCAACCAGGTGACGGCTTTACTAGAGTAAAGACTGACCTCCCCTGAGCAGGAAGGAATTCTGTCAGCAGACTGCTTTTGGATTCAAGCTGCAGCATTTCCCTCAACGGTCAGACTGCCAGCCTATCCGTCAGATTCTGGGCTCTCCAAGTTTCCATAATCATGTGAACCAATTCTGTAAAATCAATCAATCGATCGATCAGTCTCTCATATATATTGATCGCCTGTTGGTTGTTTCTCTGGGGAACCGTGATGACTATAGGTTCACAAACAAAACTGTTTCTAAGTCCAAGTTATCTGTGCATTAAAAACACTCAGGAACACTATGTGTTAATTATATTTTCTTTCCAATCAACAAAATACTAAAAGTGTTTGCAAAAGTTGAGACGAACTATTGTAAAATGTGGGACACAGTGCCGTTAATGAGCCTTGAGAGTAGAGAGACTTGCATCACCACAGAGGAAGGCACACAGGGTCCGTCTCCTGGCCTACCAACCACACTCACAACAGGTCTTCCTTCTGCTGGACCCCGCAGTGAACAACAAATATTAATGTTTAACATTAACAGAATTTTTGCTTAATTATATATTGGGGGGTAATTTCTGAAATGGTTTGTTAAATTATTTACTGCTCTAATTGGAGAATTCAAAGACATTAATTAGTTCAAGCTTCATTGCTGCAACTTGACAACTGCATGATGATCTTAGATTTAAAAAAAAAAACAAACTTTCCTCTCTGCTCCCCATACCCTGCTGAATCTTACACCTTCTGCATCCATAAAATTGGAATGATAATATTTAACACCTGCCTCATGTGGTCATTATTATCAGAATGAAAATCATTCATTAAATATTTATTGTACATCTATTGGCAAGTATTGTTGTAGGTGCTTGGGATACCTCAGTGAACATAACAATGATCTTTGGCCTCATGCAGTTTATATTTTAAAGGAATGCAGGGAAACAAACCATAAGCACTATAAATAAGGAAATCACATAGTATGATAAAAGAAAAAATAGATTAGGATAATCAGTAGTGCTGCGTGGCGCAGGGGAGAAAGCGTATTCAGAACTGTGTGGAGTCCTTGGCAGGCCTCATTGAGGAGGTTAGTTTGTAAAGATTTGGAGAGGAGGGAAACAACAAAGTTCGTGAGTAAGAACTTCAGGCAAAGGGAGCATCCAATGCAGAAGCAAGAGGGCTCCGTGGTGCCTGTGGAGCACGTAGGAAGCCAGTGTAGCCAGAGTGGCTGAATAGTGGGAGAGAAATTTAAGATCAGAGAGGTCATGGGTCTGTTGCAGTCATTAGAAGGACTTTGATTTAACCCTAAGTGAAAAGGATTACAGGATTTTGGAAAGATGTTATCTGACATAATGTAAAAGGATCGTTCTGGCTGCTACTCAGTAGACCCTCAAAGAATATTAGAAGTGTTTCTTAATTTCCCAAATAATGGTGTTTTGAATAAACTATAGAGCTCTAAGTGTGGAAGCAGAGAGACTGGTTATGAGGCTGTTCTAGTAAAGTCAGTGAACGGTGACCGTGCTTCAGGTCAGGGTGGCGGCAGTGGCAGTGGTGTGAACTGGAAAGGCCCTGGATATGCTTTAAAAGTAGAGCCAATAAGATTTTCTGATGAACTGGATGGAGAGTGTAAAAGAAAGATAGGAGTCGAATTAACTCCAAGGCTTTTGTACTGAGTAACTAGAATTATGGATTTTCAGTCAGCTATGATGAGTAGGTAATGGATGAGATGAACTTAGGGTCAAAAGAGAGTTCGTGTTTTAGACAGGTTGAGTTGTACTCAAGCAGCATACTCTGTCTTTTAGGCAGCTGCTCAGATTTCAGTGTTCTGTTCCGAGGTCTGCCAGAGATTTGGCAGAGATTATCCACAGGACTCAGTTCTCTTTTTTGGCTATCTCTGTAATTCCCTCCTCAGAGCAGTTGAGTATCCTGATTCTTCAAATTAGAAAGAGGAAGGATTTTCTTTTGCATCTTTATCCTTCCAACTTGGCACAGAGTTGGTCTGCCCTCAGGCTAAAAGCCATAAAAAAAAAGAAAAGAAAAAAACCCGGGAACTCACCCCGTGCTGCTCCCTTCTTGCTCACACAGATGGACTCCACTCCAGGATCTGCCTTGTTTTGGTCGCTTTCTTGTGCCTTCGGGTAGTTTTATATTATGTCCAGAATTTATAGTCATATTTAGAGAATGATTGGTCAGATGGGAACTCACACGGCCATTGTGAGAAGTAGAACCACCTTACAATTGTGTTTTAAGTACAAGTGAAGAAAGAGGAAATCAGGTCTATGCATGTAATATATTTGACTTTGAAATTCCTTTATTTTCTCTAAAAAGAATCTTAGCTTCATTGGAGAATATTTTTCTCAGCATGTTTAGCTTTGTACTGGCATGGATGATGACATATTAGGATTAAGAAAAATATTAGAAGCAAAATAAAACACACTACTGCACTTTGGACAAAATGTACAGTTTTGAACTTTGTAACTTTTGTTGTTTGCACTTATCATTGTACCTATTAATAATTATTGAATTCCTGGTAAAGCCATACACTTAAGAGGTGAGGAACAAAAAGCTGGTATTTGAGGAGCTGAGTTTACTATCTAAGGACATAGGAGATTAGGATGTGTCAAATAAACGCCAACAGCCTGGAAAAAAGCAAT